AGGGTGCAAAAAAATCTAAATATTGAGAAAATCTCCTTTAAAGTTGTCCAAATGAAGTTCTTAGCAATGCATATTACCAATCAAAAATTAAGTTTTGATATATTTATGGTAGGACATTTACTAAATATCTTCATGGAACATGATCTTTACTTAATATCCTAATTATTTTTTGCATAAAAGAAAAATCTATAATTTTGACCCACACAATGTATTTTTGGCTATTGCTACAAATTTACCCCAGCGACTTAAGACTGGTTTTGTGGTCCAGTGTCACATACATGAATGAACACAATAATAATAGTAAGTATAGTACTCAATAATAGAGTAATAGTAAAGTAGTAGGGGTGGATTATTATAAATTAAATATGTATTATATAATATAATTATATATATTATGATAAAATTTTCTTTTAACAGCAGAGTTGCTCCAGCAGGGGGCGAATCCTAACCTGCAGACTGACAGCGCCCTGCCTGATGGAGTTGAGAAAAGCCAAGGAGTCTCCTTGCAAAGTCCGCTCCACCTGGCCATCATTCACAACCATCCAGATGTAGTGTCTGTCATACTAGAGCAGAAAGGTGAGGGATGTGCAAGGATGTTGGATTTGAGTGCTGATCTATGCAGCCGTGCCATCTTATGTCACTCATAACTTCATTTCTGCTCCATCTGTCATAGCCAATGCACTACATGCCACCAACAACCTGCAGATCATCCCTGACTTCAGTTTGAAAGACTCAATGGATCAGACCGTTCTGGGTCTCGCACTCTGGACTGGTGGGTTCTGTTAAAAAATCTCCTTCTGTGGGTTCACTGCTCATGCAGATCATTCAGTTTTTCACATTATTTTCTTATTTACATCACTAGGTATGCACACTATCGCCGCACAGCTGCTGGGTTCTGGAGCAGCCATTAATGACACCATGTCTGATGGACAGACGCTACTGCACATGGCCATAAAGAGACAGGACAGCAAGAGCGCCCTCTTCCTGCTGGAGCACCAGGCTGACATCAACGTCAGGTACTACACCTACCTGAAAGTGCTATAAAACGTTGGTTAGCATACATCCCCCAGACATGTTGAGCTGTGCTGTTAATGTCAGCAATGAGGGTTTGAGTCCTGCCTGCAGTGTGTCTCAATCCCATCCCCCCTCTGTTTCCCCAAAAATAGCTATTACTGAAAGAGTTGACATATATAACAGATCCTCAAACTACAAATCATGCTTTGTTCCAGGACCCAGGAGGGGCAGACGGCTTTACAGTTGGCCATCAGTAACCAGCTTCCTTTAGTAGTGGACGCCATCTGCACAAGAGGAGCAGACATGTCAGTGGTGGATGAGAAGGGTGATCCTCCACTCTGGCTGGCTCTAGAAAATGGTTTGGAGGACATAGCTTCCACATTGGTGAGAACATTTTTCCATTTATCAATTTGGAGCGTTTTAACTTCATTTAATATATTGTTGATCTTGAAACATTTAGTTTCCATATTTTGGTTAAAAAATAATGCTCGTCTATGATGAGTTGATTTGACTTGTTGTTAATTTTTGGATTAGGTCAGGCACGGGTGTGATGCAACCTGTTGGAGTTCAGGGCCTGGAGGATGTCATCAGACTCTTCTCCACAGAGCCATCGATGAGAGCAACGAGATCACTGCCTGCTTCCTTATACGCAGGTTTGCAAAACCTCTCCTTAATTTATCTTGCTTCTGAGCAGAATTTGCATTGTAAAAAATGAGCATGACAGGTCATCAAGTTGACATTTTTAATGCAAAACACTAACTGATTGGTGGTGCTTCATTAGCTTCATTCCTATAGAGCAGTGTTTCCCAACCTTTTTTTAGTCGCAGAACACGCGAGCATAACATAGCGGTTAGCAGATCAATGAATGAGAGGGCAGCGTTACCAGAGTTGCCCATATACCACACCATGTTACAACACAGTAGGGCTATTGCAGACAGAAACAATACTGTACTACATCGATGTTTCCTGTCGGCTCAATTTTTGAGTGGACTTTGCTGTTCCGATTCGCATGAACGGTATACGAGTGGAGCGACTGAGCGGAGCGCACATGCATAGAGCGTCACACCACGTGAAAGTGAAACCTGAGTGGTGAACTAATTTTCGGCAGCCGAAATTTCAGTGCATCTCTAATTATTGGCGACATCAGAAATGGATATTATATAATAGATGCTTTTTTGAACATTTTAGCAATTTAAAAATATTAAAAAATGATTTTTTACACGGCACCCCTGCTCTCGACAAACGGCACCCCGGTTGGGAAACACTGCTATAGAGTGCTGCAGGATGACATATTTTTGTAGGCCAAAATCCAGAAATAAGTTAGCATTTTAGCACTTCTGTTTCCATAGTCCTGAAGTCAATTTTTGAGATTGATTTTTGGTGAAATGCCTGAAATAAGATCTGTGCTTAACACATATTTTCACGTTTTATTCTACAAAATAATACCCCCTTGTGATTTTTTTTTTTAAAGCTTTTAATTGTCATAATAAAGGGACTACATTTGTTACTGATTACCTTAAACATCATCACACTGTACAGGAAAAACCATCTACTCACTAGTCTGCTTTCACTGCCTTGTTATGTTTATAATTGCAAATTATTCTAACCCAAACTTTCAGGGAAGATGTTTTTTAATAAAGACCAAAAGAGTTGATGGAAGCTTAGTAATCGTTGAAGTTGTGGTGCAGTTCGTTGTGGTGTAGTTTGTATATAGCCTAGATTTGGCATCTTACTTCAGGTGATTGCGTTTAGACTTCAGAATCCATCCCAGTTGTTCATTTGTGAAGTCTCAGAACTTATTTTCTGCAATAATCCAAAAGTCAGTGGGGAAAAAATCCTATTGGGTTTCTGTCAAGGAAACCAGGGTGCTGTTAACTTCTGTGTTGTACTACAAAAAGATGTCATCACTGCAGTGCTTCAGGCTGAGACTAAGACTTAGCCCTTTACACAAGGTTTTAAATGCTACAGTA